AAAGTTTCTAAGCAGTACAAATGACACCTGTTTTCCCATGCAGAATATTCAAGTGGATCCAGGATGTATAGTAGAATAAAGCACCTATATCCCATCATAGATTCCCAGGTATTATCAGATTTAAATTAAATTATATGCCCTATTGATGGACCTAAGGGATAATGATGAATGATATCAAGCAAATTTGTCCCTAACATTGAAGCGTCTTATAACCAGGTGAAGAAAATAACTGAATTTATAGGGAAGGAAAGAGGAATGTTCATTTTATTTTCATTTTTCTTTCCCCATTTGGCTAGGAATATGGATAATAGTGTAGAATACAGAGAGATAAGAGAGTGATGTATCATTTCCTGCTGTTGTGTTTCAAGGGGCATTTTCTCCCCTTCCATTCAATGACCTCCTATTCTCTGAGATTGTTTGGACAAGTCCTTGCAGTTTTCTTGCCATTTTTTTTCAGAAATGGTTTGCCATTGTCTCCTTCCTAGAACTAAAAGAAAGTAACTGGCCCAAGATTGCTGGCTTCATGCCTAAGGCAGAACTAAAACTCCCAGTCTGCTATTTTCTAGCCTGATGCCTTAACCATCACACCAAACTGACACAATACTTGGTTATAAAATTCATCCCTTTTTGGGAAGGGAACAGTATTACTGAATATTCACAGTTACCCACTGTTAAAAACAACTGCTATGGGCTTTAGAAATGTTAAGGAGACGTGCTGTTGTCTCCTTTTGATAATTCACAGCTAAGATGCTAAACTTAGCATTAAATACAACATGATAATTGTGGCTGTGCTTGTTGGACTTAAATGTGTGCTCTGATGAAAATAAATCTTCAAAGACATTGTGAAGCTCCAGGTGACAGGGCTATCAGGATGAATTCTTTGAGGTTTGAAACACTTTCTCTGGGGCTAGGTGGGATGTTTTCTGCTTAGACAAATCAAAATATTTTTCAAAGAATTTTTATCCTGTCATAGTGCCAAACCTATTAACATATTTGCTTGTTCTTTTCATTCCCTCTCTCCCATTCTGTAGTTCCTCCAGGATACTTTAGATGCCCTATTTAATATCATGATGGAACATTCTTATAGTGATGCATATGACATTCTTGTCTTTGATGCTTTGGTAAGGATTACTGTATCAACTCTTTCAATCAATTAAGCTCTTTTCTAGCATTCTGCCTTTTTTTTAGAAACATGAGCATGATGGCTTCACTTCTCATCCATGCTATAATTAGCCTCCTTGCATTGAGGGTAAACTAAACTAGGAAGTCTCACTGCATTATGTGGAACTAGAAACATCAGAATTATATATTTCAGGAGATAGTTATTAATTAAGTCCATATTGGAGTCTCACATGTTTAGATATTAATAAATCAATGTTAGGTAGAATGTATGCTCCATGTTGTGATTTTTTTTCCATGTGAATCTGAAAAATCTATACCTATTGTTTCCAGCTTCCCCAGATATTTGGAATTTTGCAGTACAACTTTCCTCAATGTGCACATTTAAATACATTCCATAATATATATTTAAAAATAAAATAAACCCATACATTTTTTCTTAGTATTTTTAAACATATATATGTTTAAAACTGCAAATACTTTTATGACATATTTGAATGCTTGCTTCTCAAATAAAGGTTCAATTTTGGGCTAATCTTACCAAGTCCATTCATTTTTGTGTGAATTTTTGATTGGGAATTGAAAAAATATTCAATTCACTGCAGTATATAGCTTTTTTTCCATATCTTTGTTGGCAGTTGCATTATATCCATTTCCTGTGCAAGCTTTAAATCTCTATCTAGAGAGCCACAACCAACATAAGAAGCTTCCCCTCTCACAAATTTCTGCTTGGTGTGCTCCAAAAATCAAGATGGCAGCCACAAGAGTATAATCAAAACTCCATCTGTTTTTTTTTTATACAGAAGAGCTCACAGGCTCTTGTTTCTTTCTTTATTTCTTTGCATGAAAATATCTGCACTTATCCTTTCCAAGTGCTTTGCCAAAGTAAGCAATCTGGAATAGGAACAAGTAATTAATTAGACACTAAATGTCACCAATACTCTGAATTCAGTGGAGTCCATAAAGAAGAAATCCCTCTCCACTGTTACTTTAAAAACAAATTCCAAGTGATATTTTACATATGAAAACCCTTATTCTGTTGATGTGTTACAGATTTATGTAATAGGACTCATTGCAGATAGAAAATTTCAGCATTTCAATACTGTACTGGAGGCTTATATACAGCAACATTTCAGTGCAACTTTAGCCTACAAGTAAGTATATAACAATTCTGATGAGGAAGTCAATATGTGAATCCCCTAAATCATATTCTATCCTGCTGTTTGATGCATGTAGAAGAGAAAGTGTTGGAAATGACTCCAGATAACAAGAACTTGGAAAGGTGAAAACACAGAGATTTTATTTATAAGCTTAAATCAAAGCATACAAAAGGGGAAAAAGCTGTTTGCAAAGAGCTGTAGGATCTTAGCTTATCTCAACATGAGGTTTGAACCAAGAACCACACCTTGAGATTTCAGAACATTACATTTTATAGTTTTTCTATCCCGATGCCCCCCATGCCCCTCCTACATCGGGTCCAGTAACTGAGCAGAGCTAATCCGAAACACCTTATGGAGACCACATCATCTCCTTCAACATCTCCCAATGACCACCCATCACATATTTTGCCAACATCTCTCCAGCCATCTTAGAACAACATCATGATTATATGCATCTCTAACATATTCACCTATGCAAAGTAAAAGTCTGGTTATAACTTAAAATCACAATGTGCCAAGATTAAACTTAAGTAGATGCTTTGAAAAACAAAATCTAACTTCAATTGATCAAGAAAGTTAGGGCAATGTTTATCTTTTATTATCTCTTCTCCTATTGTCCTCCTAATTGATCACTTTGGTATACATACCAATTCCTGGAGGAAATAGGGGTGGCATTACTTGAAACAGGAGGATGTAATTGATTGCAGGTACATATTTAAAAATGAGTAAATGCATAAGAAAATATATTTACAGCAGGATTACATCAAGATAGCAAATGTCTATAAAGCAACTATCTTCTTAAGGCTATAATATACTATTCTCTTCACCTACATTTTATTTTTGAATTTTCTTATTACTTACAAAAGGAACAAGGGAATTTCTTCTTCACTTCTTCTACACTGATTCTCCATGGATTATTCTAATCCTGGCAAAAAATATTCTCCATGCAACAAAAAACTAGAAATATATTTATAGCGGTCCTATGCAAATTATTTGGTTCAAAGAGTTCCTAACCCTCTTCTTAAATATTATTTAATATGCATTAATTATGGCTGCCCTCCAGAATCATCTTGCATGAAAGATAGAAATAATATTGAATAGCTATGCTGTATAATACTTGCATTTGAATTCCAAAATAATAATAATAATAATAATAATAATAATAATAATAATAATAATAATAATAATAATTTGCCATGTTACAACATATATTACATATATTTGCCACTCGCACTACTTAGAAATCTAATTTGACAATGATAGTTTTCCATTTGTGTAACGTGTTGTCCTGATTTCAGGAAATTAATGGCAGTTTTGAAGACTTATTTGGATATTTCAAGCAGAGGAGAACAGTGTGATCCTATATTAAGAACGCTAAAAGCTCTGGAATATGTATTCAAGTTCATAGTTCGGTCAAGGACTTTGTTCTCTCAGTAAGTATTTGATTTACATTTCTTCTTAGGCATAAAATTTGCACTCAGGTATAGCATAATTTTCTTCCATTTGGTATCCCCCAGATAATAATTCTTAAAGTTTCCAATCTGCACATTTTTTTGCCAATTTCGGCTTTATGAAACTATCTGATGGCCATGGTGGCTCAGAGGTTTGGGAATTATAGATCTTAGCACCTAGAAAGTGCTGGAAGAGGGTGATTTTCTGCTAACAGTTTGGCCAAGTATATTATCAATGGAAATGTAGGTATGCCAGGCTTGAGCAGGGCTGTTATGTTGGCAACTTTATGAACTCATTCATGTAATTACTTCTAGCAATAATATGAAAATGGATTTGTCATCTTCTGTGATCATCAGAAGATACCAAATAGTTTGCAACTGTTATAGGTTAATTAATTAGAGAGCTTAGTATGTTGACTCAGAATTATGTCCCTCTGTATTCAATGGTAGTTGTTGCCAAGTTAGTGCCCAAACATGCAATTGAACCAATTTGGACATATATTTTTGGACTGAACTGTTACAATAAATTGAAGGATCAGATTGGTTTGGTTACAACATAAATTCAAAATAATAGCTATTTTTTCCTAGTTGTATACTTTCTACCTTGCTGTTTCTGACTTCCTCCCTTTCTAGGTGTTTTATAGAGACGTATTGTCCAATTAGCTGTGTGCACTGTACAACCATGGATCCTCTGAAATAGATGTATAGATTTTAGAAAATTACTTTAAAATTGAGATAATTGAATTGTAATATGTTAGACCAGAAAGAAGGTGTAATTACGTATTGAACTTGCTGTGTATTTGAAACATTTGGTAAGAAGCATTTTTTGATATGATGCTAGATATACTTTTCTTTGAAGACTCTGTTCAGAGCTCTGATATTTAAGGTTTCTAAAGCTTACATCATTAGAAAAGTAGATGTAAGTGGCAAGGCAGAATGGTTCTTCTTAACAGAAAAAAGTTCAAAGACCATGAATAAAGTACAGTTATTAGGGTATGAAATTTGTTGAGCAAGATCTCACATTGATCAGAATAGTTTTAATAAAGCAATGTGCCTGGGAGACAGTCCATAAAGCAAGGCAAACAGTTTGTTCAGGCAACGGGTATCATTTTGCAATGTGATGTGATTGCACAGACAGCAAAAATAAAAATATTTTTTATCACAAAATAGGCTCACATCTTGAAAGATCTCAATTCACTATGATCTGACTATCTCATCTATCCTGTCTGTCTGTCTGTCTATCTATCTATCTATCTATCTATCTATCTATCTATCTATCTATCTATCTATCTATCATCTATATCTATTTTTACTTAATATTGGGATTCCATAGTGGCATCTTGGATGCTGCAGGCATTGTTTTATGGTCTTCTGATCTGTACAATTAGATAATTAAACCAGAGGCTCCACTTCTTTCCTTAAACACTTTATTTTGACTCATACCATACTGTAAACTGCTTCTAACAATCTCCAGATCTTTAAATACCTTCAAATTCTCTCTTGATGTGAGATAAAAAAGCAAAGGACAGCTTGCATTGTTGGCCACGCAATTTTCTGATTCTGGGCCATATCAATATGAAATATTTCAGAGAACCAACTCAATTAAATGTTAAAGATATTTTGAAATCCCTAAAGGATATACTATCCAGGACGAAAGATATGCACTCAATATCTAATTGATTAAACAGATTAATTGGATAGATACTGCATTTACCATGATAAATAAATTCAGTTGTTTTATACTGAAAATACATGCAAAAAAACATGGAGACCATTTCTAAACTACATAAAAATTTGGAAGAAAGGTCAGAAGAGACTGAGATGGTACATAAAGAGCACCACACTAAGCAGCAATTTGTTGCCTGGGTGGAAATTTTCAATCCTTATTAAAATCAACAGTGGTCCTAATAACATTTAAAAAAGAGCAAGAGAGAAATTCAGCTCACCATTTTAATACTGTATAGCAATCTCTCCTTACTATAATTGTGTTCTTCTGAATGAACACATTACAGTTGTCAATAGGCCCAAAGAGGAAAAAGGAGTCTAAGAATCCAATCAAATGTGCAATCAACTTGTATATTCATTTCAAGCCTTCGCCTTTGATTTGGGATAGTGGATGCTTTCTAAGTATTACTTTTTTAGCAGACATTCTTTTTTCTTAAATGCACACTTTTATAAATAAGTCCAATTAAGTTTAGCATATAAAGCACCTTCCAACTCTACAGTGATGAGTACACTATGAAATCGCACAATTACATTCTCTGTCTCTGAAGAGCTGTATTTGGAGTATTCTAGAGTGAAGGTTTTTGATGTGAACCCTTTTAGCTAGGCTGTGAATTCTTCATTTAGACATAGTTTCCGATATATCCTTCCATTTCTTTTCTCTACCATAGTGTGAAAATCTTGAAATGCCTTCTCTAGAGGTTTGTATTATAATTTCTGTTTTCTTGTGGTTCCCCCCACCACCTCCCGGGCATGGTGTTTTATTCTTTTTCTGTGTTATTTTTATTTTCTCCTCTTGGTATATGCTTCCATTACCATGGTTGCTTCATCTGAAAAAAGTTAATTAACCGACTTCTCCCCGCACAGTCTTCATTTTCAACATAGCAAATTTTCATTCATACCAAATCATTTTTTTTTCTTTTCATCTGAACCATCTGCACTTATGCTTCTAATCTTCTGGAATTCATCAAAGGATGTTCTACTACCACAATGGCCCATTTCTTGAGTAGCCTTGTAAAACATTGTAACTGAAGTTATGTAGGGCAGGAGTGCCCAACCCCTAGTTTGTGGACTGGCACCAGTCCATGGCATGCCAGAAACCGCTCTGTGCAAACAAGAGAAGCTCCATCCATGAGTTGCAGGCCCCTTCCAGTCCACGAAAAAAAAGCTCTCTCCACAGAACCAGTCCATGGTGTTCAAAAGGTTGGGGGTCACTGATGTAGGGTAAGCACAATGGCTTATCCTTCTACTTTCATCAGACATTATTTTGTCAGTCCTGACAAAAGATCCCTTTCTGGTTATATATTGTTTTCTATGAGCTTCTACAGTTTCACCAAGGAAACTAGCTTACTTTTCAGCCATATCTGAATGATTTCAAAAAGACCGTCCTGATTCAGATTGCAATCCTACGACTGATCATCCATGAATGTTAAAACCACACCTCCCTCCTCTCTCAGAAATATTACTTTTTTCCTCTGAGTCTCAGCTACTTCAGCCATCAGACCTCTTAAAAATGGGAGAAGTCTCCAGGATGTTTTTTGGGGGCAGAAGCTAAGTAACTATCTGTTAGTTCTGCAAAATTCAGACACAAGTTCTGTGAAGGCACAGAGAAATACAATTAGAGGTAAATCAAAAGTCCCTTATCTTTTTTTATTTTTAGTAGAGGTTCGTGTTTACAGAAAGGAGTAAAACAAGATCATTAACTCCATTGCAAACAGGGCCAATCCCTTCATGGATATAACCTGTCATGCAATGATGAGGCAACATCATAGGGAACAAAGTGGACAAGATAGAATAACTGGGTATACAGATCACACTAAGCTCATCTGTGTTTTATTTGGAATATAATGTGTGAACTTTCTATTGTGTTTTATCAATGATGCCTTGGTATTATGTGAATTTCTATGTCACTCTGACTGGTATATGGCTTAGTGTGATATATGAAGCTGATGTCTTGTAATTTGATAAGTAGTGAGGCTGTTTTCTTCTTGCTAACTTTCCCTAGAATATCAGATTTATTCTGCTGTTACTTTAATATTTTCTTTTTCCTAACAAAAAATGGGCAAGGCAACCAGAGCACAGCATTTGGGTTGAACAAGTAATTGTACAGTCTCTTTGTCTGACAATTGTTTTGTTTTTGCAGGCTTTCTTTGCAAGACTGTAGTATAATATTCTTTTATTATTCTTTTTTTTCATCCAGGGTTTGGCTTTATAATACATAGATGCATTTATGAAAATTAAAATCATATTCCTTTGCAAAGTGGGAAATCAATTCCTAGCCTCTCTAGGGAGCTTCATTTAATTGTTACTTGTGATTGAAGCCTTCTTTAGCTCTTCACACTGCTGGTTCTATCCCTAAAGCAGGATGTATGATTATCCCTGAATATTAGGCAATAATTGCCAAGGGACATCTATGTGATACAATATATGTCTTTAATATATGTGCATTGCAATAATTGTGGCAATTATATTTAAAGTAAGGGAACAGGACTGGAAGGGGATAGGACCAATAGGCTAGGTTCCTTGTCTTGAGGCAATTTTTCCCAACCCGTTTTTCCAGATATAAAGGAGTTACAAATTGCAGAAAAATAATTGTATCCTTAAGAGGTGTCATGTTAGAAAGCAAGTATAAAATAAATCATCATATTCTTTAATTGCACAATATCTGTATAGAAGCAATTCTTTGTGGTTTGAAGAAATATGCAGATATTTTTGGATTATATGAAATAGACAAAATACTTAGTGCAAATATTCTTGAAAGTTACCATCATTGCAGATGGTAGCAACTGGTCATTGGTGTCTGGGCTCAGAAGCAACAGTACATAAATAGTCCAAATATGGGAGATAACAGCTTTGGAACCCACAAGCCCAGCCTCTACCCCGTTGAGGCTTTCTTGTACAATGCAATACAATGCAATGCAATGCAATGCAATGCAACACCACACCACACCACACCACACAATAATACAATACAACACACAATACAACACCAAGGCAATATGGAAGCTGAAATTTTTTTCTGATTCAGCAGTTATTGTGGGAACTGCAGTCCAAAAGACTTGGAGGGCATTAGCTTTGCTATACATAACTTAACTGGGATTTCCTGTCAGAATATTCCCTTCCTGGAAACTCTTCTATTTATTTGGCTTGCTTTGTTTTATGTTCATGATATCTCACTTGCTTTGTGTGAATTAGGGAAGGAGAGTGGAATCTTCTAAAAGAATAATAATGATGGATTGCCGATCCCAATGGCTGCCTTTTCAGTAATAATTTGCAGTACTGCTCCATCCTGTAATCCAGATTCCATTTGTAATCTGTCTTTTGTTGCCTTGCCAAAGAGCCCTCAAATATCTTTACCTGGACACCAAGGCTACATAAGCCTTCACCTGTTACAGAGTCATGGCCACAAAGCAGACAAGTCCATACCTTCTCAGGTAGTACAATTTCCACAAAGTATTGGTAAAAAATTAATGTTTTGGTTACATTATTATATGACTGTGTTAGGAGGACTTCTGAGAACTTTGCTTGGAGGACCATAGAACTCTACACAGACCATTGCTTGAAAGCTAAGCCTACACAGGCCATTGCTTGAAAGCTAAGCTCAATATTTAGCCTCCCCCAAAGCATATTAGCTCTGTAGGCTTGAAAGGAAAACATCCTGTTGGAAACAGAATACCCTATATCACCAGGCTTGAAATTTTGGGCTTGGACAATCTTGAACTATGCCGCCTACGGTTGGACTTAAGTGTAGTACACAAAATTATCTGCTACAATGTCCTACCAGTCAATGACTATTTCAGCTTCAACCGCAACAATGCAAGAGCACACAACAGAAACAAACTCAATGTAAACCGCTCCAAACTTGATTGCAGAAAGTATGACTTCAGCAACAGAGTGGTCAATGCCTGGAATGCACTAACTGACACTGTTGTTACATCACCTATTCCCCACCCCTTTAACCTTAAACTATCCACTATTGACCTCATCCCATTCCTAAGAGGTCTGTAAGGGGCATGCATAAGTGCACAATCATGCCTACTGTCCCTGTCCTATTGTCCCCATTTATTTGTCCCCATTTCCTATATTCTTACTCATGTTTATACTTATACCTATTAACTTGTAAGCGATTGACAAATAAAATAAATAAATAAAACATCGGCTCCCATTCTGAACTATTGCCAAAAAAAAAGGCCCTAGTTGCGTCCATAGTTGAGTGATTAGCAGGTCCTGAACTCAGCTTAAGGATGGCTTTACTTTTGTAGCTGAAATATTTACACACACACACACACACACACACACACACACCACAAACACACTGTGAATAGCTTTCCAAAAAGTTGTTCACAATTTTTAAAAATCTCTCCCGTTCCTTGAAAAAAAGCTTTTTCCTAAGAATGTGTTGGGTTTTACCATGAGGAAGCAGCTTCTGATTAGAATTCTCAGAATGTTTTTGAGAGAGAAAGGTTTCCTTGCTGATTCTGTCCCCACTTAGCAGTCTGTACATCATCTCCATGAGCATGTACAATTCTTCTGTCTGAATGGAGGCCATAAGGGCCGACAAGAAGGGGGGGGGGGGGGATAATAAGCAGTAAAATGATCATTTTTGTCCATTCAAAGCTGATATCGCATATGTTCCAGATATACCACACTTATGTTATTACTTCTGTTTCTCTATTGTACTATTAAAATGTGTGGAGTACTATGACATATGCCTAATTCATTATGTGAGGGTAGGTTGAATTCTTCTCTAAATAGAAGTTCTGAACAAGATAGGCCGTACAATTATATATATATATATATATATATATATATATATATATATATATATATTTCCCTCTTTTGTTTCAGCGTCCCTGAATTTTTAGATTTATTTGCTAATAAAGAAGATTAAGTCATGTTTAATGACCGTTAATAAGTTGAATATAATGAAGGCCACAATGCTATTATTATCTAATGTAGATCTGAAACAGCCTTAATATTGCTTTTAATTAGCAAGCTTTGAATGTTAATTTTTCTCTGCAAAGAAAAAAGAAAAGAAAATGAAAAAAAAACCCAGATGACATTTGATTCAATAAATTATGCAAGCATGTATTTTTAACATTCTGTTTTGGAAACATTGTGGAGATATAATAGTCAGGGTGGCTGGTACCCCAATTCACCTTTGATGTCTCTTTTGTTGTTATTTGATTTTACCTAGGGCGCTTTCATATACCGTTTCTGTCCTAGGAAGATTTGACCTCTAGCATGAAAGTGATTGGCCCTTGCTTTCCTGAAAAACAAAGGTGGAGGGGCATAGCAGCCAAGGAACTAACATATGCTTATCAGTTATTAATCATCCATGACTAAACTATTTATTCTGTCATTTAAGGCTTATAAATAGTCTTAATGATGAATTATATAAATAAGAGTTTAAAGACTATTTATTTTAAGTAAAGAACATTAACAGAATAAAATCTAATAAGGATAGAGAAGAAACTGTGGTTACTGTGGTATCTGTGGTTAGTTTTGAAGCAAACCAATTTGAAAGTAAGACTTTTTAACCAGGTTAACCCAACCCAACAAACAATTTTAGGCAGTTAACAATAAAAACACTTCGAAATAGAAAGGGAAGAGATGAGAAAAGTACAACTTGTTACATTTGCTGTATAAAGCACAGGACAGTGTGATCTGACTAATACCTTTAAAGGAGAATGAGGAAGTCCTTAATTAGTTATTGGAAGAACATCCTAAATAATAGAGTACTTATTTATTGAAGCAAACTGCCCACTGAAGTTGTAGGATCTGTACTGGGAATTTTTTGAGAATATTTATCCAGATAGCTTAAGGATATCAAAAGTTACCTCCTTTGGAACACTTTTGGTTCTACATTTTAAACAGCCCTTAGACAAAATACTTCCACTGGGATCTGTCAGAATGTTACATCTGCATCTCCATGTAGGTTTTGCATAGATCCCTTATTTAGCTTGCCCATAGGGCTTATAAAATGGCCTAACTTTCTCGTGAAGAAAAAGAGATTGAGAGGCATTTCTGCATCAACAGCTATCATCATAGATGGATAGGGTTGGAAAGGAGTTTGGAGGACTTCTAATCCAACTTTCAGTCCAGGGCAGAAATCTTTATATCATTCCGGGCGAATGGCTTGAAAATCTCCAGTAATAAAGCATCCATGATTCTAGGAGGCCCATAGCTTTCTCATTCAGGAAGTTTCTTCTTAGATTGAATATGGATTGTCACACTGTAAAACCTCCCCACATTCTTGTCCTACCTGCAGGAGCTATGGAGAAGAATACTGTACCCTTTCCCCTGCAACTCCTCTTCAAGTACTGCAAACAGCTGCTATCATATTTTCCCTTAGCTCCTTCCCTTTTAAGCTTACTTTGATCAGTTTCTATAACTGTTCTTTGGAAGATTTAGTTCCAAGCCCTGTGTCATTTCTATTCTTCCCTGCATCATTTCCTTTTTTCTTGCATCGTGGTGGTCAAAACTAGACTCTTTATTGCAAATAGGTCTGACCAATGCATCATGGGGTGGAATTATCACTTATATTTATTTGTTTAAAACAGTTATGTATATAAATATTACTTTATGTTTGGATTTTTTTTTTGAGGGATTCTCAAATGTAAGAGATTTTTATAGGAGAGATCCTGATTGGCTCATTAGTCAACTTAATAACAATTCAAGCTTTTATTACAGGATTTAATGCTTTATTAAAAGTTGAATGAATAGGAATGAGTAGGAAAAAATATATAAACTTGTACAAATAGGAAAGTAAGCAACAATGTTCAACTAACCTTGTATGAATGCCAGTTAAGAACAAAAGTATTCTTTAGTTGCATACTAAAGGAAGCAAGACATATTTTATCTAACTTGTTTTATTCAGAAGATACTGTGATTGATGGGGAAGGATTGATAGACAGGCAACTGAGAAGAATCCCCTCCTGGGATTTATTTTGTCAGATGGGATTAATTTTAAAGAAACTATCCTCTATTTGAATATGAATCAGAGAACTTCTTTCTTGACTTTCATTTCAATAATGCCAGGGGGCGGAATCAGTTTGATGGTCAGAGACGAATAGTCAGCAACATACATTTAGAGCAATAACCTTGCCAACTTTAAGATATGTGGACTTCAACTTACAGCTTTCCTCATTCTGCATGCTAGAAGTTCTAGAAGTTAAAGCTTACACATCTTAAATTTGCTAAGATTGAGAAACACCTATTTAAAGAGCAGTGTGCTCCAGTCAGGAAGTTGCATTAGATGATTCAACTGGATGATAATGATGTTGATGTTGATGATGCTATCCATTCAGTTTTGTCTGGCTCTTGGTGATTCTATGGGCCAGGTCTCTCCACATCTTCCAGCCTTACACTATTTCTTTGAATTGTTCTATGCTCTGGCTGGTGTCAGCTTTGATGGCGCTAACTCTTCCAGACTTTTCCAGACTCTTCCAGACATGCTTTCTCTGGTAATCCAACTAGATTTTGGGCTAATTCCCTAAAAACTTTAACAGGAGGGAGGAGAGTGCTGGATCCTTGAATAGACCTAGAAGGTTTTTTCTTTTTAGGTATACAACATGCATCTGGTATAATAATATTCAAAACCTTCTCTTGTTTAACTGAAGTTCAGGTTTGAAATGCTATTCTGTATTTTTTTCTCCCCTTTCAGACTATATGAAGGTAAAGAACTGACAGAGTTTGAAGAAGCCATGAGGAGAGTTTTTGAGTCAATCAACAACTTGATGAGAAGTCAACATAAAACAGCTATTTTATTACAGGTTTGCTTTTTTTTTCCTTCGGTGTTTTAGAACAGTGTTTTTCAAACTTGGCAACATTAAGATGTGTGGACTTCAACTCCTAGAATTCTCCAGCCAGAATTCTGGGAGTTAAAGTTCAGACATCTTAAAGCTTGAGAAACACTGCCATTAGTAAAAGTACAAACAAAAAGTGTAAATAGGGTGGTGTTTGTTAACTTCCATTCCAAAACAAGAACTTTCTTCTGATTTAACTATTCTTTCGTCATGTACGTTTTAGGTCATTATCTTGCAGCATATCCCACTTTCTCTTAAGCGTCACAGACAGTTCACAGACAGATATTCTGTAGAACTTTTCTGTAGAATTTTCTGGTACAATACACATACCAATTACAATCTGGTTCCTGGTCTATACTTTTATGTCTCCATATTTCTCTGTTTCATTACACTAGTGAGGCTCTAGTGAGTTAGCTAACCCCTGGACCTTTGTTCCAAATGTTGGTTTAGAACAGTATGCCACATTTGGATGGGAGGAGCCTTGATTCAGTTCAGTTCATTGTGGCTTGATCAGTATGGCTTGAAGAGGGATCTCAGGTTCTAATTCTTCAGATTATGCATTGCTGACCTAAGGTAACCCATACTGATATCCAAGTTATTATAATGGTACAAGAACTGGAAACAATTCTACTATTTGCTCTCTCTGAAACAAGGTAAATTTTGGCATTAGAGGTAGTCCTTGACTTACAACAGTTCATTTAGTGATCGTTCAAAGTTGCAACAGCACTGAAACCACTTTTCACAACCATTGCAGCATCCCCATGGTTACATGATCAAAATTCAGACCCTTGGCAATTTACTCATATTTATGATGGTTGTGATGTCCCAAGGTCATGTGATCACCTTTTGCAACCTCCTGACAAAGTTTTTTTTTAAGAAACTTAAAAACTTCAAGGATTCACTTGACAACTTTGGTAAGAAAAAGCGTAGAACAGGGCAAAATTCAGTTAACAACTGTTATTGCTTAGCAACAGAAATTTTGTGCTCAGCTGTGGTTGTAAGTCATGGTCTGCATATGTTCTCTTTTGCTTTACAATTGCCCGAAATTAATGCTGCCTTTCTCAAAGTCTACCACTTGTCCTTGAAAAAGAATTGTTTTATATATATATATGTGAAAATTCACGGTGAAGTACCAAGCAGGTTAAACAGAGATTGATTTATCTGTTTGGAATTCCTGTGAGTCATTTTGTTTTTTGAGGTCGTATTATGAAATCTTATAACCCAAGTCATCCTGCTGGTAAGCTCTGGACAATCAATCAGCCTGCAACGTAGCACAACTGAGCACTCTAGAAAAGAAAACAACAACAACAATAACATAAATTCTACTTTGAATCCTACCTTTCCAGTTTAGTGTTTAAGATCTGCAGGTTGGAATATCTAGTATAAAACTCAGAATAATAAGGCTAAAAATGGACAAATACTTTTAAAAACTATTTTAAGTAGCAGGTAACATTATTTGCTTTAAGCTGCAATCCAGCTTAATTATTGACTCTAGGGGAGAGAAAAAGAAGGTATCTAAAGAAACCCTTTTGTATAATTGTTGTCCTTATTTTTTTATACTAGTAAGACTGGAAAGAGTTTTGGTTTTGCAGTGCAATTTAGACATTAATTGATAGCTCACACAGAGGTAATTTTAAAGGTGTAGGTATTTAGAAATCAAAGGTAACTTCAGCATGCCCAAATATAATAAATTACAGCCTATGGATGCATATTTTAGGATTGTTGCAGGAGGATGGGGAGAGGTTGAAACCACAAGGAAAGGAAATGCCTTTTTTATGTCAGCTTTCTGCAGTGGGAAAAGATAAGGTGCCAAATATATTAGAAAAGGTAGACACAAAGATGGAAATACCACAGCAGTGTGTACATGAGCTGGGTATCAATGAGATGGAAGAACCACTTCAGTCATAACATTAAGCTTAGCAAATGATGCAGAATGAAACTGCAGAAATAATCTTAGTTCTGAGTCTAGGTTTAGGAGGAGAAGAGATTTTCCCCCTCGCAAGATTCTTTTTTAGAAACTTCTGGCTGGTATAGAGTGCTTTTGTTAGAGGGATCTAGCAATGCCATGGAAAGTCAGTTTCAATTTCCTATTCCTCTCTAAATAATTAGAATAATTGTATGTCCTTGACCTGAAGAGAATGCTGTCACTGTCAGGCACTTAAAATAAAACTAGCTTAAGGTGGAGAAAGGAGGGTAAAGTTTTATATGTGTGTAACATTATTAAAAGGCATATTGTGGAAGGAGTGATGAAAATGCATATATTCATGAGCATGTCTCAAGTTCATATTCTTATCATATTGTATTAATTATTCTTGGAAAATTTGAGCTTCTTGATTCTTTAGACATTATTCTTTCTTAGAGACAGATTATACAAGATAAAAATAATTTAAGTCAAGATTTTTGAAGGAATATCTGAATCCTCTTGAGCTTGTTTAAATGTAGAGATAAACCTTAGAGGTTTATCTATAAAAACCAACAGCTTGGAGGCTTTTTATGTGTTCGGGTATCTTACTAAACTCCCTTACATCTTTTGCCTCATTATTACACCTTTCTGTCTCAGGTAGAACTTTGCCAAGATAGTGATTTGACTAAAATTAATGTTCTGTATCACTATTATTTTTAAATAGTGTGACTCCTCACGTGAAATAATTTAAACTTTTATTATCAATAGCTGCATTTTATTACAATATTATTTTTTTAAATAAAAGTTTTATTTAAGTTTTCAAACATACAAATACAAATAAAATATCTTTTTTTGAGTACAGTATGCCCTCGGTTTATCACTTCTCCATACATGCATAAACTCAATTCATATTTATCTTATACATTCTAATCCATAATTTATAACTATTTTCACATTTTTTTCAATAGCTTTTCCCTTTCTTTACTTCCTGAAGCCTTATTTTAAATGATCTCATTCCTTTCTTAATCCAATTACATATCTTTTTCTAATTTTTAAAATCTTTCTAATCAATGTTTTTATACTTTCATCTGTCCTATTTACAATTTCATATTATCTTTTCCCATAAAACAAATTTTCATCTGTAATTACTAGACTGGAGTGTAACATCTTTGTATCTTTTTTCAAATCTTGTTTAAAAATGTAAGTTACACCTTTACAGTTATAACATTCATTTTTTAACCTCTATTTTATAACACATACCTATTTTCAGTTGAAATCTGCTTGGTACATTCCCTTAAATATTTTACTTATTACTGTCTTTAAATAAAAAAACCAAACAATAGTTATTAACAGTAGTCAATAAAGTTATTATTCTTATTCAAGTTCATCTTGTCAACTGATAAAAATCTTCCATGTTTCTTTTCAGTTTTTTAAAAAACTTTCTTTTTAAATCACTGAGAGCCTTATTCTCTTTATAAATAAATATTCCACTACACATCAATAGAAATTTTTTCTATTACTTTAATCATCTAACATATTTTCTAACCCTTTTCTATTTCTAATATAACAATGCTATTATCCCATGCACCCTTGCAGAATCTTCTCCTTAAGTTAAATTTTAATCATTGTCTCTGTGTCTTTTAAATAGGTTTATACCTTTAATTCTTGTATGCTTTTCCTGTACCTCTATATCTTGTTTTGTCCTTTGTAGCTTCTTTTCCTTTCTCTCTTCCCTCTCCCCTTTTTATTCCCTTTTCTATCTGATTTTCTCTTCTGTAATCCTCCCTTCTACTTCTTCCTGATATTATGATTACTTTTCAAATTACTCTCTTTTTTTTTTTGGTTGTTGCTTCAATTCTTAAGTTTTTAACTCCCCCCCCCTTTCCCTTTTTTACCCCGCTTAAAATTGCTTGGTCATTAAAGATTGCTTCTTCATTGTCCCACCCTTCTTGTTCTGCCAGCGTTTCTTGTTTTTCATAGTTCAAGATCTCCATTTCTAAAAATTGAAATACGAAGCCAAAAGATCCTCTTTCCTCTTATGCTTTTTCTTCTTGTTCTTTAAGTCTAATTTTTAACTCTTCAAGGAGTGATGCCATTTTAAAAAAATTTAAACAACCCCCAATTGATTTTATTTTGTTTCATTAGGATCCTCCATCCAAAGTTCCAGAATCATCCAATAAACCAAAACTGTTTCTTGATTCTTTTCTCACTTTCTCTTTCCAGGGTCTTTGTTACCTTGTAACAAAGTTTCAGCTACAATGTATCTTTGGCAAGCCTTGTTAAAATTCCACTATCAATTTTTTTTTTAAGTTCCAGGTGGCCTCCTCCATTTTCCAGATCCCACCCTCTTTTTTCCTTTTTCCCTCTGATGCTTCTTTTTTTTTTAAAGAAAAATTTTTAAATTATCCAAGAATCTTTATCCCTTTGACATTTTATTTTCAACTAGAAATAGCCTATTAATGTCAAAGTGGATTAGTATCAATTTCTTATTCGAATTTTCTTAACATTCCAAGTCAATTAAAACTGTCAATGTGAGAAGAAAAAAAGCCAATTCCATTTCCTTTCCCTTTTTCTTTTGCCGCTTAAAATCTTTTTTAGGAATTGTATTAGTCTTTAAAATTCAAGTTCCAGGTACCTTAAATAGATGTTCTCTATTCAACCTGGTCAGTCAAACTATCTCCTTTAAACTTCCTCCTGCACAATCTTGTCTGGTTGGGTTTTTCTTTGAGGTGGCCATTTTTGACCACTGCTGCAACTGCCTTTGGGAAGGGAGTAATGGCTAGCCAAGGAGGAGAGATGAGGCTCTCCTCAACCCCGCTAATGGCTCCCCCTTCTTCACCACATCTACAGGGTGGCTTCAGCCCCGAATCCGGGCAGCTCGGGGCGCTCCAGCAGCAAGCATGGATCAAAACCGCACACAATCGCGATTTCGGTCCATTGCCAAAGAAACCCAAACCAGAAGTCCATTACAATATTATTTTTGCATGTTTATGTTTCCAGCTGTTTTGAAGGTAAAACAAGCAATCTCCAAAATTGTTGACCTCAAAAATCAACATAAAGATAACATAATAGAAGTTATGCAAGCTGTACATCACCCCAAGTTTCTTGAAAGATATATGAGATAAAAATACATAACAGATTTTAATTCACCAGTTTCCTTTACCCCAGCAGTACTATAAAAAGGACTGTTCATGATAGTTTTCTTGATGGATTGAAGGTGCATAATACTGTGCCTTGAAAATGGAGCTGAAATGGAATCAATCATGCCATTGGTTAGAATATAAGAAGAGACTGATTGATGAAGCCATGGGGTATGGCATGGAGATCAGAGAGAGACTGTGACCCTGTGGGTGGCTGGTGAAGTGATGATGTCCCCTCTGCCCTTTTTTAATTTGTAATGTCTTAACTTTGCTCATATGCTTTGGCTGCCTAATGAGAAGAGAGGAGTCACTGGAAAACCAAGTTAGGAAAGATTGAAGACAAAAGGAACAGGAGATGGTTGAAGAGGAAAAGATGGTTAGACAGTGTCATCGACACCATGGGCATGAATTTGGGCAAACTCTGAGAGAGAGAGCAGAGGACAGTAGGGCTTGATGTGCTATGCTCCAAAGGGTCGCGAAGAGTCGAACACAACAAAAATCTTAATTTTAACTTCATTCTTAATTCTGTTTTAACTTTGCTGTACTTATGCATATAAACCAGTTTTATGTGTTTACTGTAAACCACCCGGGGTCATTTAGATGAGATAGGCAGTGTAGAAATGAGATAAATAAATAAATGTTTGATGCTCAGAAGGATGAGGTGGATTCACAGCCCTCTCCTGCTGCTCTTTCTCTGCAAATGGTGTTCAGAAGCATCTTTTACTCCTGGAAGGGAAGCTTGTTGACAACTGTTTTTTATTGCATATTTACTTTCCTTTGCAAATTATAGCAGTGTAATACTTGGTGGGTCATTAACACTTCTTCATATATGTATTCTGTGGGAGGTGCAAGCAATACTTTCATAACTCTAGTGTTTCTTTGTTGGACAGCATTATTGGACAATATATTCTTGGGGGGGAAAACCTGGAAAATTTTAATTTCTTTTGTGCCATGGTTTTAGTTCCACTGCCACGATAGTAAAAAAAAAGCGCAAAGACTTGTTTCCTTGTTATCAAACTTGAGAGACTCTTAATTTTCATCATGTATCCTCTACAGTCATAAATTTGTTGTGATGGAACCAGCTAAAATATTAACGTTGTAGTGGGAATAGTCAAATACCCCCTCATAAATATTCAACAGCCATGAGCATGGCTAATATTCTGAGTGACTTTGCTTATTAGAAATTATTATTTCTAAAACATCAAAGTAGGCAGGAGCAAATACAATCAATATACATACATACATGCACACGCACACACACACATGCATTATATAGATGTCCATTTTATATCAAACTCTGGGCAACTCCAATCAGCAATTTTTCAACTCATATTGATGATAAAAACAACACAGTGCATAAATATATTAAATTAATATTGATAGGGATGCTTTTTCCCATTACCAAAACACAAATAACACTGACTTTTTTTCCCTTGCTTTTAGTTAGTTTTCAAAAACACCCATCAGATCATGACTGGCTAGTTCACTCTGTTAACTTCCTAGCTTTGGGAATTTAAACCCAACCAAAGGCCAACATTCAACCTGGCTTTTTGCAGGCATTTCTTGAAGCAGAAGACAATTCACATTAGGCTTATAATAACGCTTCCCTTTCCTCATATCCCAGAAATGGTGACATGTATCTATTCAACTTTTATACTGCAATAATTATGTTTTGGGAAATGGATTTGGGAGGAAATAAAAAGGCAGGTGAATGCTGGAATATTATGATCAATATACAACATACTGTACTGTATAGTTTAAAAAAAACTCTGAAAGGCAGGAGACTTTCTCACTATTCTATGGAAGTTATTTAACAGTCAAAGTAACCTAGAGAAAGTGAGATATTCCTCTTAGAAAAGTCCTAAGTCAGACCCCAAGATGTTATTGCTTTTTAGTGCTAAACATATACTGGTAGCTGTTGTACAGGTGAGTAAAAAAGGTTACATACATGACTTGCTTAATTTTGCAGTTCTGTTGTGAACATGGGCTTCCTGGAGATGTTTCACATTATAGTCATCTAATTTGACTTTCAGAATCTAGAATTTGGGGTAGGGACTGATCTCTGCACATTCCCAGGACCTCTGTTGATCCCATGTGCCCAGTAACTTTTTTCCTCCATAAGGAAGCTCCTTAAAATCGGAACCTCCCCAAAGAAAGAAAATGTATACCTATTATGCACAGTAGGAGCCATTTCTAGAAAAATCTAGATTGTTAAGGACATATGGAAGATCAATTTACCATGAAAAAAATGTATCTAAATGACTTGACAGTGGATTTTGATAAAGTCCATATATAATTGTCATAGGTATGAGTCAATAGCAAGAGACCTAGTAAAAAAATTATAGGCTGTTATATTGATAAATGAAAAGTTAATGGTAAGGCATTTCTCGGTTAACAAATAGCCTGGAAGATGCTGGTTTTGCTATACTCTCCAGAGTCCAGTTTACTAAAGACATGTGGACGTTTCTGGATATATGTCCTGTTTGGGTTTTTAGTGAAATCTAGATCTAAATTATGTAAGCTTTGAAAAACAAAAAATATGATTAATTATGTTATTTTTCTTTCAGATGGCTGCCTTGAAGTATATTGCATCTGTTCTCCAAGATGTAGAAACAGTCTTTGATGTCAGATTGCTTAGGTGAGATGACATTTGGAATTCCAAAGCTTCAGGGCATTTAGATGCTTGCAATTTTAGCATGTGCCTTCAGATAGTCACGTTGCAGATTGCAGTATATTTTTGGCATAAATCTAGATTCTGCTGGCTCAGTCTTACATAATTTCAAGCATAATGTAAGCAATACCATTTGCATAAGAAACTTGCCCAGAAAGCATGAAATTCATGCAACTAGATATAGAGCCTTTAATTTTTTATTCATTAAGGTTTTTTTTTCCCCAATTACCTTGCTATACACAAGGGACTCCATATAGTTTCTTATTTGTTTAATACCTTTTCTCAAAAGCCTCCTCATACTCTTTGCATGACTGTCTTAAGTCTTAACAATTTCCTGACCAAACATTCTGATCAATATTTTTTTATCTACAGCCAGCTTTTACATGAATTTTTTGCCTGCATTCCAGCAAATTTGCAGAAGCAAAAAGTTCAATCAATGACAGAAATTGTACACAGCAGTCTCTTTAAAAAACAAGGTAAGTAACAATTAGAACTACTTTAGTGTTCATAAAGTCCTCTTCAAAGGTCATAGGTATGGCTTCTTCTAAAGTTGCATTAGCAAATTTAACCTTCCCAAACCACTATAATTTTTGGTTTCAAAAGCATTAGTTTAATACTAAAAACATACATATGTGTTGTACTACCTCTCACAAAATGGATTTTGCTTGTGTTTGGCATATAAGTAACTTTCTTCTACCCAGGATTGCACCATAATTTGTTTGGCCTTCCAGGGGCCATAAGTGGAACAGCTCCAATGTCATATTAGACTTAGAATAACTATTGTCACTTTGAATGTACACTAATCGGCATACGTTAAAATGAAATTTTGTTGCATAAAAGCTTTCAAAGGATCATCACCACCTCCAATATGCACTACACAAACATGACAAAATAAATAAATACAAAATTATGTATGTACCTACATATATTATATGACACATTATGAAAATGGGTAGAACCAAACTAGTCTAAGAATTAGAGGCTCAGAGAACCCACTCTGATAGAGTTTCTTATGAAGCAGCACTGCTTTTTTGTCATTTCACTTGGGCCTCTCATCTGGAAGTATTTATTATTAACAAAAACAATGGTGTTTGGTTTGGTTCTTGCTGGATAACTTTTTGAAAGTATTCATATGAAATTTGGCAGCATCTATTCCCTCAGAACAAGCAACTTTCGTAAATATGTATGTCCAATCTACCAAGAAATAAAAACATCATTAGCATTTCTCTTGTTTTGGTTTTTGCAGTTATCCCAATTCCAGATTATTTTTAATGGTAAGAAGGCTGAAATGTGAATGATGATAGATAGAATGAGGATGGATGGATGGATGGATAGATAGATAGATAGATAGATAGATAGATAGATGAATGATAGATGGATAATAGGTGAGAGATATAGATCAAGGGTCTTCAAACTTGAACCTGAATTCCTGAGCAAACATGACTGGGAATTGAAGTCCACAAGTCTTAAAGCTGTCAAGTTTGAAGACCCCTGAGATAGATAGATAGATAGATAGATAGATAGATAGATAGATAGATAGATAGATAGATAGATTGAATACAGTAGATAGTCACAAGGGAAAAGCCACTGCAGTGAGATGTTTTTCAGTTACAGTGTAGTAAAGGAAGAAGCATTTAGATGTGAACCTAAGTCTTCCCTGTCTCATATGGCTGTCATGGGTGGAAAGTGGTTAGCCTAGAGGAGAACCTGGAACCATGCCATTTGTTTGGACAATATGTATTTTAGAGTTGGAAAAAAATATCTGTTTTAGAGGGATGGACCCCTGATCATAGTTACAAACAGTAATCTTTCTCACTGATTCCATATGGCCAAAAGAGGCAACCCATTTTATTCTCCAAAATGCCTTTTGATGTCATAACTTTTTTTGAACTGTTGTCAGTGAAGAATAAGAGCAAGTGATGCTTTGACTTAATGTAGCACACGATCCTAGTTTCTTTGTAAAAGGTGTATATGCATGCAGCCTGAAAGAAACCAGATAAATACAAGTTCTTCAAATTAGTTAGCAAATTTTAGGTATATTGGAAATTTCTACAACATTACTTAGAGGAAATGTTAAACTAACTGGCATCTACTTTTCCTCTGGGATTTCACTGGGGAAATCTCATCCCATTAGTTACTTTAAAAGTAAGTTATGTCAAAAACTATTAAAGGCAACCCATAACTTAATAACAATATAGAAAGGTTATTCTGAATGTTTCTAACTATTCATGAAAACGTTTGCAAAACAGCCACCTCTCATTTTTGATTGTAAAAAAGCCATTAATTGTGACTGGAGGAAGCCTATGTAATTGTCTCAAAGAGTTTTATAAAATATGATGAAAAGAAATCAAGAAATTCTTTTCACATCTCAATGCTATGTTTTCATCTAGAAGATTTAAATCAGTCAAAATAAGATTAATAAATTAAATGTTATATAAAAGTGACTTTTTAATGAATGAGTATAAATATGATAGGATCTAATGCTTTTACCCTCTTCCCTCTGTTGCTTTTGGTCCTCATATGTTAAAAGGTGATAAGATTGAAGATTAATATCAATATTGTTTAAAAGATATTGGAGGTTTTAAATTAGAATTATGGTGAGTTTCATTTGGGAATGGTAACATGAAATTTGAAATCTGTCTGGGATCTTTTTGAGTCAGATATCTCCATTAAAGGACACAAATTAAACTGCAAATTTTGCTGGGGAGACATTTTTTTTCCTTTAAGTGACTGCTCAATTACTTGATAAATCTGTCAAGTGAACCTTTCTTACATGCCAAATAATTTATGATGGCCACAGTTTCTGCATTTTAAAAACTGTAGCTGCAGAACTCTTAAAAAAAAGTACTGTTAGTTTTAGCAAGACAATGTGAAGCTGTTGATTCTGGTCAGTGGCTGATTCCATGAGTGAGTTCACATGAAATACCAGAGCACAAACTAGTCAACCACTGGTGTCATCACCAGTCAAATTGTGCAAACCTAATGTGCATGTTTGGTGTAACAGTTTAGCATGCAGATCCAAAAAATGTGGTTAATTGAATAAATTATGGATCAATACTTCATGGATATATGAATCTCTATGAACCCACTGGTACATTAAGAGAGGCCAAAACCTCAACACCTCAATACTTGGAATTAAGTCCCATTAAATTTGTTAGTGCTTACCACTTTTGAGTATTAAAATATATAAAATAAAATAAAAACACTTTGAAAATTGCAAAAGAACTGTCACAGTGACATAGTGTACTTGGAAAATTATCTTGAACCCAAGCATATTGACAAATGAATCCATGGTACAAAAACATCTGCTGAACTAGAGAGATGCTACAAATGGTTTTGCATGAAGTGATGAGACAGATAATAGATAATCAGAGTTGGAAGGGACCTTGTAGGTCATATAGTCCAACCCCCCACCCAACGGGAGACCCTACACCATTTCTGAAAAATGGCAGTCCAATCTCTTCTTGAAAGTCTCAAGTGATGATGTTCCCACAACTTTGAAGGCAAGCTGTTCTATTGGTTGATTGTTCTCACTGTCAAAAAATTTCTCATTTCTAGATTAAATCTCTCCTTGTTTAGTTTCCATCCATTACTCCTTGCCTGGCCTTCAGGTGCTTTAGAACAGGGGTCACCAACCTTTTGGACCTCAGGAGCCACCAAACTCATAATTTTAAATCCTGCAGACAAGATACCCTGGGAAAATCCCCAAAAAAGTCTGTAGGAAAATTCCCCATCCCATTTTTCTACCAATTGATTGTTCTTTATTTGGGATCACAGAATACCATCTTCAGCTCCCTTCTCAGGGGGAAAGAGAGAGAGAGAGAGAGAGACTTTTGGCTTCATGCAGGGAAAACAGCAGAAGCAACAGAAGTCTTTCTCTCCCCCAAATTCTGCCAGAATGGCGCAGCCTCTTGGAGCAAGATGCCTTGCAGGGTCCCAAAGACTCATTTCTGGTGGAGTTTGGGGGAGAGAAAGAAAGACTTTTGCTGCTTTCCTTGCATGCAGCCAAAAGCAAAAGAAGAAAGAAGCAGCCTGGTGGCCAGGCAAGGTGTGTGGAGAGAGTGGCACAAGTTCCCCCCTCTACTCTTTCCCCCATCCCCTCACTACCTGGTGTTGTTCTCAATGCAAGCGATGCAAGCCTAGTGTTCCCATGGGCCATGTGGGCAGCACAACCTTGTGTTCCCGCACAGCCTGGATTAATTGCTTTGGGGGTGACATTTCTCTGCAGACCACCAAAATTTTCTCGTGGACCACCAGTGGTCCCTGGCACATTGGTTGGCGACCACTGCTTTAGAAAATAGCTTGACCCCTTCCTCTCTATGGCAGCCCCTCAAATATTGGAAAACTTCTATCATGTCTCCCCTGGTCCTTCTCTTCACTAGACTAGCCATGCCCAGTTCCTGTACCGTTCTTCATATGTTTTAGTCTCCAGTCCCCTAATCATCTTGGTTGCTCTTCTCTATACTTTTTCTAGAGTCTCAACATCTTTTTTATAGTGTGGTGACCAAAACTGAATACAGTGCTCTAGGTGTGGTCTTACTAAGGCTTTATAGAGTGGTATTAGTACCTCCCTTGATCTCGTATCTCTCTGTTAATGCAATTTAGGATTGCATTAGCTTTTTTGCTGCTGCTGCACACTGCTGGCTCATATTTAGCTGGTTGTCCACTAAGACTCCAAGATCCCTTTCACAGTTACTGCTGTTGAGCCTGGTTTCTCCCAGTCTATATGTGTACTTTTGGTTTTTCTTCTCTAAGTGTAGGACTTTACTTTTCTTTACATTGAATTTCATTTTGTTAGATATGGCCCAGTGTTCTAGTCTGTCAAGATCCACCTGGATCTTGAGCCTATCTTTTTGGGTGTTAGCTATTCCTGCCAGCTTAGTATCATCTGCAAATTTGGTAAGTTCCCCTTCTATTCCCTCATCTAAGTCATTAATGAAGATATTGAAGAGTACTGGGCCTAAGATAGAATCTTGTGGCACCCCACTGCTTACTTCCGTCCATGTAGACTTAGACCCATTAAGGACTACTCGTTGAGTACGGTTTGACAGCCGGTTGCGAGTCCACCTAGTGGTGGTGCTATCTATTCCACTTTTTTCTAGCTTACCAAGAAGTAGGTTGTAGTTGTACTTTGTCGAATGCCTTGCTGAAATCTAAATATATTATGTCCACAGTATTTCGCTGGTCTACTAATTTAGTCACTATGTTGAAGAATGAAATAAGATAAAATAAGAGACTCTATATAGCCTAGGGGATAATCCAAAACATTTTGCAATATGTATGCTGAACTATTAAATTATGGTATATACCTCTGAAAGTTACAGCAGAAAGAATTTCTGCAAATTCATCTCTCTGGATATAGGGAGTACTTCCAGGATGACTTTCTGTCATTAAACAAATTTTTCCCATAAGGAATAAGATAGTGAGTCACAAGGTATTGTGACATGTTAGGTATTCTAAAGTAGGATACATATAATTTTTACATTATTGAAAAATAAATGGAAAGAATGTAGTGAATTCTCTTTCCCATGATTCTCTTCTTCCCTTTCAAGTCCTTTTCCCAATTGTTCCTTAGAAGTGAGTTACTCCTACATCTAAAATTTTAAAAAATATTTCAAGGAGAAATGACAAGCAAACCCACATCACTTCTGTGCTTTGTATCAACATTTCTTTTGAATAAAGTTCACTTCTTGACACTTCTAATGAGGCTATAAGTACGATACACAGTTCTTAAGAAAAGTGAAGGAATGGTTTGCTATTGCTTTTTTCAGGAATTTTTTCCCTGATTTTCCCTATGCCTGGTGCTCTGCTATCCAAGCACAAATCAAATTTGACTCTTTTCTTCCAGGTCTGCCTAGATGTGTCCAAAATAGGCTAATTGACATCTTTTATAAAAATGGCATATCTTACTGTAAACAAGTCTAAAGCATTCCTATAGTAAAAATTCATAATTTTGGAATTGCATAAGTACAGTAGTATATTGTTAGTCAACTGTTTTGAAACTCGTCAAATTTGGTACTCAATGCATTTTGAAGTGAAAATTTTATTCTAGATGAAATTCTATTCATCATTTGTTTGGTACTCAAAGCACAAGCTAGAACTTGTCGGTGTCAAGTTCACTCATCATATTATTCCTTATGGGAAAAATTTGTTTGCACTCATCATTTTTGATATCCATTGCTTCTTCTGGAATCAATTAACAATGAACACTGGATATCACTGTATTTGTATTTTTAAAAGGACACCCTGTATTACATTTCAACCTTGGCCTCAATCGGTTTCTATAGCAGCAGTCACCAACCAGTGGGCCACAGCCCACTTGGTGGGCTGTGAGAAAATTTTGGCAGGCCACAGAGAAATCTCACCCCCAGAGCACCCCCCCCCCCAAAGCAATTAATCCAGGCTACACAGAAACAAGGCTCCGCCACCCACACTGAACCGGTAGTTACACTGGTCGGATCCCACCCCTGCATGTAAATAGTTCCTTTATATGGCAGCTGAGCACCTTATGGTCTGTTCTGGCTCATCACATGAAGCTTTAATTCTGAGACATTGTAATATGTCCTGCAGGTTAAGAAATTCTATACAAGCTATTAAAGGAACATCTATCTTGTATAATCAATATAGTTTGCCACCAGTACAGGTAAAACTAATTCAAATATAACATTTTATTTTTTGGATAATGGGAATTAAGAATTGATTGTCTACTTTATTTAAAGATATCTGAAATGTAATAGGAATAAACAGCTATATAAATTCCTATTAGCACTAATAAAAAGCCAATATAGCAAAATTAAAGTCTAGAAAGATAATGATTATGTTATCTTAATAGCAAAGATTAGCATGCTAAGTTGGTTATTAGTTAATTTATGTCCATGATGAATGGAAATCTGCATGAAATAGTTTGCAATATTTCATAAATAGTAGGCAGCCCATCTTGCATGGTTAGCATACTTTTTCCAATTTCACAGCAATTAGTATATATTCCAATTTTCTTACAGGTTATCTATTTCTGATATATATTCACAAAATATTGTTTCCCCACAGTAAGAGATGTTTGAAATCTGTGATGCATATTTTGAAACTAACTGGGTATAGATTTTTATAGGATTGGCAAAACAACAACAACAACAACAACCCAGGTCCTAAGTGATAGTTTATTTTCCATTCAGAAACAGAATAAGAGAGAATACTCTTCTCAGTCAATGGAAACTGACTGTGTGAGTCCTACATAAATGGAGTCAGAGGAAATTCCACATGACTGACCATGTCTACATGGCATCATTCAGACAGGTCTCCATCCATACTTGTCTCCTACAAAACTGAGCATTTCAAATATGATAGGTTGTCTGCTCAGAGTTTTAACACATCTGGGGGACAATAGGAGGGCAAGAATGTCTTAATTATACACTCCTGACTTCTACAGCCGAAGCACCTTCCCATTACTGTTGAATGTAGGCATTTTAATTGTCCTGTCTCAGTTAATTTACACCTGCTGTTTCAGCTCTCCTTTTCACTCAATAACTTTTTCAGCTCCATAATGACATAAGCATTTAGTGCTCTGCCTGCATAAATGTACCCAATTCATCTCCTCTTATTTTCTTTTAAGAGTTGCAAGCATTAGAACAACTGAAAACTTGGATGACTACCAAGAAATTTCTATTTATTGGGTCATGGAATAAATGTACATTATACATGTGTGCACGTGTACATACATATATACACATATACAAATATGCATACAACACATACACACACACACACACACACACACACACACACACCAGTGGTGGGATTCAAATTTTTTACTACTGGTTCTGTGGGCATGGCTTGGTGAACATAGCATGGCTTTGGGGTGTGGCTTGGTAGGCATGGCAGGGAAAGGATACTGTAAAATCTCCATTCCCTCCCCGCTCCTGGGGAAAGGTTACTGCAAAATACCATTCCCTTCCCACCCCACTAACTTGTTTCTAGTTCTGTTCTCCTGTGCAGGGTAACAAAATAAGGCCCAGCCAATCATCTGGGACTCAGAGGCAGAGAATAGATGGGAACGGGGCCAGTCAGAGGTGGTATTTGCTGGTTCTCCAAACTTTTCTAGAACTGATCAGGAACTGCTGAATCTCTCTCTCTCTCTCTCTCTCTCTCTCTCTCTCTCTCTCTCCCCCACTCTCTCTCACACACACATATGCATATTGCATATATCTCCATTCCCAGAATTATTCATATATTTTAGAGTTGTCGCAATATTGTATTTAAAATTAAAATGGTCAAAAATAAGAGTTTGGGATAAATTTGTTTTGCTAAATGTATTACTTCATTTATGTCAATGGCTAAGATTTATGAATAATAAATTGCATTATTAAATCTTAAAAGATCTATCATTCAATCTTTGTCAGAGGTTGCCAGGGCAACCAGGTCTTCCATATTTTACCTGAAAATGTTCCCAAAGACCTTGACAGCTGTGGCTATTTATTGATTCCTTGGGATAGAATGAGTGGAACTCCCCTGTTTGTGAGGCTTTATGTCTGCTTTCTTGTTTGGATTGTCCCCACATAGTTAATTTGTTCACATGGAATATGTATTAATATGACACTAATTGTTAACAATGACTTGATGACACTCCCAAAAGTACTTTTTCAAAAGGCAATGGACTTTCTTTGTTTTTCTTGAAGACATTTCGCTTCTCATCAAAGAAGCTTCTGAACAGTCAGAACTGAAAAAGAAGCTTCCTGGATGAGAAGCAAAATGTCTTCAAATAAAACAAAGAAAGTCCAGTTACCTTTTGAAAAAGTACCTTTTGGGACAACCATGACCTGGATGACTGAGAATCTCCATAGACGACTTCATGGTATACAATCAATTACTTTGTAGTTATTTTTATACTGTTCTAATTTTTGTACATTGTTGTTTTTATTGTTATTCTGTGATTGTGGGCTCCCCAAAGTCTCATTGAGTTGGGCAGCATCCAATTTGAATAAATACAATTAAAAAAATAACAATTCCACAAACATCCTTCAGCAACATCCTAGACCCATTTCATCTAATTTCAGTAAGTTCCAAACCTTCAAGAATAGACTATTTATGGGTTCAGGGATCAAACCTTGTTGAATGATTTTATTCTCCATTTTTTTTCAGAACCTATTAATTCCTCATAATTTGGATGTATTACTTTTTTTTCAAATACTACCTCCTTGGCAGAATTAATTAATTAATTAATATTTTTGCTACCCAGAGAACATTTCTACATCTGTCATAACAATTTTTCCCTACCATCACACACTGACACACACAAACTCAGATGCACAAATTTATCTTAATAATTCTTAACAGTGAACAAAAAGAACATATATTTTCATAGAACCAAATAATTTGTAGAAATACCACTGTGCATGAGAAAACTGAAGAGCTCCTACTGAGATTTTCCATTAACGTAGGAAAAATAGTTTCACACTAAGTCAGTCATAACACACTTTTAGTGTGGGAATGCTTTGTTTATGCACTAGTTCACGGTTGAAGATTTGGAAACTATAAATTATTTGTGGGAAAGGAATTTTGTCTATCACACTATTTTTTCACTGAATCTTTTCATCCCACTTTGTATTTTCTTCTTCTGTACTGCTGACTCTGTCAGGAAAATAAATATTTAGACTGGTAAGATTTTTCTTTTCTTTTTAATGTTATGTGTGGCATGTATTAAATACAGGGAAAGGAAGGTGATAGATGGCTTTCTCTTATGTGTTTTAGATGCACACAGCCATATTTTATAAAACTGAATATCTGCCATAAATACTGATTTGATGTTATGGAGTGGATTGGTTGTGTGTTGTTGTCTTTTCTTCAGAATATGAACAAGCAAATACTTATTGTTATGGAGACTTTGTGGACTATACTTGTGGACAATATTAACTGAATATAATTGAATCAAAACAGAATTTAACTCAGTTTATATTGCTAAGCATCCTTTATTGCCCTTTATTAGCTGTTCATCATATTTTTAATCTTCTCCAGGGAATTATGAGAGAACATGACAAATTTTAGAATGATGACTTTGAAAGAAGACACACAGTGCCTGCAAAGTCAGTTCGCCAGTACTTAGTGTGATGTAGCCATAGTGTTCCTCTTATAATTCAGCAGATCTGTTTCTTTTGTATATATACCTTTATTTACAATTGAAAATGTAAATTTTAGTGTCCTCCAATTGCCTTTAAGAATGATTGTACCAGGGAGAGCTACATTGTAAACATTTGAAACAGTAAATATGAAAATATTTGTGACTTGATTTCTCCTCTAAGTACCAAATTGTTTATTTTCAGAATGTAGAGATATCCTCCTCCCTGTAATTACCAAAGAACTGAAGGAATTGCTGGATTCAGGTGTTGAAATGCAAGGGAAACAAGAAAAACAATATTGCATTGAATTACTCAACAGCATCCTAGAAGTTCTCAGCTGTCAAGAAGCAGTGAGTACCAATAAATGTCAGGATTATATAACTGATTCCAGTTTATCAAGTCTGTGTTGATTAAGGTGTACCAGTTATTTACAATCCAAATAATCAGTCTAGATCTACATAAACCATGGTGTGGGAAACAGAAATATACTGCAGACATGCAACATCCTTTCAGCTAAACTTAAAAATAATCACCAGCACTACTTACGTAACAGCTACACTGCTTGTTTTTTTTTTTAATATCAGTCGTTGGTTGAAGTTGGCAGTGGAGACAAATCTGAATTATAGTCATTTTCATGATTTCAGAAATGTGAAATGTGGTGCCAGAGAACTCTGCAGGAGTTCAAGAGGAGTTCAATAAAACAGCATTTTATCTAATGAACGCAAGCTCCTTCCCTTTGTGTTCCCATGTATGAAAGGGGAAGAACGTGTATCATGCAGCATTGTTATTGTCAGTTTGATAAAAATGCTGGATCCTATAGATGTCACCAACCATTTTTGTTTGTTTGTTATGAGGCTAGATATAATCCGATGCATGCAACATGCATCAGATAGTAATTCATTCAGATTCCAGACTACAGTCTCCATGGTGACATGTCAGCCATTTTAAAAAAAATTTTTCTCTTGTTAATTGCAGCATGAAAACACATGCAAGATCCATTAGTGATCCACTGTCAAAGATTTCAAATCACTAAAATTGGATCTTATTTTTGATTGGCATAGCAATAATTTTATTCTTTGAAAGATGAAAGTATCTTATTGCTTTATCTTTTAAAGACTACTTCTTTGGATATTATCTCAGTATCTTCCACAAAATTTATTCACTTTCATGTTTTTTATGCTGAGCAGATGAGTGGTTATGCTTTGAACACTTTGAATCAAATCAAACCCTGTTAAAGGAAATTATTTATTCATTATAGATATGCTCAGTTGCACGCCTGTACAACTCTTGGCAGATTTAAGGAGTTTGGAAACCATTAGAATATTTACAGTACAATAAATATAATGGAAACTATCAAATAAAAAATTACAAACTGGTATAGGAAACAGACTTATCAATCCGAAATTTGACAGAGTCATACTGAACTTTTAAACCCACATCTCTCAAATATTGCTTTCTTTGCAAGAACAATACTATCCATTAGTTTCTTACATTGGGTGTCACTTTTTTATATATTGCTAAATTTTATATTTTGAAATGGCACTAAATGGGACAGTTACTTGATTGAAGCTTAAAAATGGACTTAGAAATCTGTGCCTCTTCAATATTCATAAACCTAATAAAAGTAGCATTCACATACAGTAGTAACCAAAGGTTGATACTATGCACATAAGCAAAAAGTGCCCCTAGTGAAAGCTCTGATTTTAAATGACAAGTCTCTGACATGTACACCATTCTTACTCCTACACGAACAGAGAAAGTAAACAAAGATTCAGTTCCATTTTTGCATGATTCTGGTGTGGTGCTGTATATCAAAAACTTGTCATTTAAAATAAACTTTAGTCAATTACAAAGCAAGCTAATTTTATGCTATGGTTTTTGAGGCTGGCTTGTTCACTTAAGTGGAATTTATTTTAAACAATGATATGGGCTCTCACGTCATCAATCCAGAAACAACAGAAGTGTAATGGAATCCTGATTTATTTCTCATACTGGGCAAGGAGAAAGGAAGGTTAAACATACTACACTACATGAAAAGAAATGAAATACTTGTAGAACTGGGAGCATAAACTCCATTTTTCCAGTTTTAATTAATTTAATTAATTTTCCAGATTAATTAATTCAGAGGTGTAATGCAATTAATGGTGGCAAATGTTTAACCTAATTTATGATTTCCCCTCATGTATTAATAGAACTTCATTGTTCGTACATTTGATTAAATGCTTTGCCACAATTACTATTATGCCTTTATAAAAAAGGAGAGAGATATCTTTCTCACAACCTACTCAGAAAAGATTTAATTTGACAATCTCACGGTATTCCCAGAAGTTATTTCCCAAATAAGTATGAATGGATTGTAGTTATTTGCTTGGGTCTTGGCCATTCAGCAAGATCACCTTTGAGAAAAATAATAAGAATATTTGATTTTATATGGCCATTTTTTCTTGCTACCACCCACCATAAATTTCTACAGCTGGGTTTATTATCTAGGGTTATAAATTAATCTGTTACAATAGCAGCAAACTTTATTTGAACCGGGTGGCTGTCACACCCCCTTGACACTTCAAGTACAGTTCTTAAGGATAATTATAGAGTAAGTACGGTATAGATCCTGTAATGTACTTTGATGTTTTGTCTCTTATCTATTATATAATTTTTACTACACAGGATTCTGACAATGCACTAACCCTTAATTGGCCACTGAAGCTCTACTTCAGTGAGGAAAAAGTTGTGTTAAAGCTCTCTCTCACACACACATTTTATTGTTTAAACAGTATGATGAAACAGGACTTGTTTTTGTCATAAATCACATTCTAAGTTTATTTTGGGGACTTAGACTTAAACATCTCACTGCCACTATTACTAAATGATGCATTTAATATTTCTATTCCTATTATATTTTTTCCAGGGTGTGTACATATCTTAGATGCATCTGTGTTTTTTTTTACTTCTTTTCCTTTTTTTTTTTACCCTTCCAATTATCCATTTTGTTTTCCTGATACTGTGTCGCTCCCTCATTCTGTTACAACTTTCTGATTGTAGTAAATATAAAAAGTATATCTTTGGTTATGTTAGTAGAATGTAAGTAATGTATCATTTCATAATAAGAAGGATGCAAATTATAATTTCATATTAGGTATAATGAAAAAGGAAAGAGATGACTAGAATAAAAATAAATTTAACACAACATTAAGTAGCAATAGAATGGAACAGTTTGGTTAAGTGGAACCTATGACAATTAGCCCAGTTCATTCAGGCTGATGGAAGAGGTCTGAGTGTCTTATTTTCCACTCTAATATAACCAAGTATAGACTACCAACAGAAGCAATTTGGTTGGTCATGTTCCTAAGATATCCTCTTTAGGTATAATTGGATGGATGGATGGATGGATGGATGGATGGATGGATGGATGGATGGATAGATAGATAGATAGATAGATAGATAGATAGATAGATAGATAGATAGTCACTGATGAAGTTATCACTGTAAGGAACTGATCTACAGGTGAAACTAAAAAAATTAGAATATCGTGCAAAAGTTCATTTATTTCAGTAATGCAACTTAAAAGATGAAACTAATACATGAGATAGACTCATTACATACAAAGCAAGATAGCTGAAGCCATGATGTGTCATAATTGAGAAGATATGGCTTACAGCTCACGAAAACCCCAAATCCACAATCTCAGAGAATTAGAATATTGTGAAAAGGTTCAATATTCTAGGCTCAAAGTGTCTCACTCTAATCAGCTAATTAAGCCATAACACCTGCAAAGAGTTCCTGAGCCTTTAAATGGTCTCTCAGTCTGATTCAGTAGGAATCACAATCATGGGACAGACTGCTGACCTGACAGTTGTGCAGAAAACCATTATTGATACCCTCAATAAGGAGGGAAAGCCTCAAAAGGTAATTGAAAAAGAAGTTGGATGTTCCCAAAGTGCTGTATCAAAGCACATTAATAAAAAGTTATGTGGAAGGGAAAAGTGTGAAAGAAAAAGGTGCACAAGCAGCAGGGATAACCACAGCCTGGAGAGGATTGTAACGAAAAGGCCATTCAAAAGTGTCAGGGACTTTCACAAGGAGTGGACTGAGGCTGGAGTCAGTGCATCAAAAGCCACCACATACAGACTGATCCTGGACATGGGCTTCAAATGTATTCCTCTTGTCAAGCCACTCCTGAACAACAAACAACGTCAGAAGCATCTTACCTGGGCTAAAGAAAAACAGAACTAGTCTGTTGCTCAATGGTCCAAAGTCCTCTTTTCTGATGAGAGCAACTTTTGCATCTCATTTGGAAACCAAGGACCCAGAGTCTGGAGGAAGAATGGAGAGGCACACACTGCAAGATGCTTGAAGTCCAGTGTGAAATTTCCACAGTTTGGGTTGATTTGGGGAGCCATGTCATCTGCTGGTATTGGTCCACTGTGCTTCATTAAGTCCAGGGTCAATGCAGCCGTCTACCAGGAAATTTTGGAGCACTTCATGCTTCCTTCCACAGATGAGTTTTGTGGGGATACTGACTTCATTTTCCAGCAGGACTTGGCACCTGCCCACACTGCCAAAAGCACCAAAACCTGGTTCAATGACCGTGGGATTACTGTGCTTGATTGGCCAGCAAACTCGCCTGACCTGAACCCCATAGAGAATCTATGGGGCATTGCCAAGAGAAAGATGAGAGACATGAGACCAAACAATGCAGAAGAGCTGAAGGGCACTATTGAAGCATCCTGGTCTTCCATAACACTTCAGCAGTGCCACAGACTGATAGTTTCCATGCCACACTGCATTGAGGCAGTAATTGCTGCAAAAGGGGCCCAAACCAAGTACTGAGTACATATGCATGCTTATACTTTTCAGAGGTCTGATATTGCTCTATGTACAATCCTAGTTTTATTGATTGCATGTAAAATTCTAATTTTCTGAGATTGTGGATTTGGGGTTTTCATGAGCTGTAAGCCATAATCATCACAATTATGACAAATCACGGCTTGAACTATCTTGCTTTGCATGTAATGAGTCTATCTCATATATTAGTTTCACCTTTTAAGTTGCATTACTAAAATAAATGAACTTTTGCACGATATTCTAATTTTTTGAGTTTCACCTGTAAATAAAAATGGGTGCACTACCAAATTTGGTCTGTAGAACTACAGTACACCACTAGATGTCAGGAAAGATAGATCTCTTTGTTGACTTCTAGCAGCCACCTGTTGGTAGTGGTGATGTTTTGCTGTACAAAACAGTCGCCCTTGAATTAACTTCATTTCAGCTGAAAGAAAGTGACTTGCTGTATCACTTTTCCACCAGTGGCAACCAAGTGAAAAAGATATTGAACATAGCAGTGTCAGAAAGGCTAGTGACAAACTGTAACTGGTTTCATACAGGTCAGTTAAATATCTGCCAAATGTGAAATGTCAAGATATACTGCAGGTATTAATAGGTTTGATGTGGATATGGAGATCTGCCTAATACTGCAGACTTTTTAAAAATGTCAAAAGAAGCAACATGCACATATCATAATTGCAAATGGGGCCTCTCATGAAGGTATGACTGTATAGAAAAACCTATCTATTATATTTAATTATTAATAATAATTATGCTTAATGTTACTTAAATCACAGATTCCTGATTCTGAAAGCCTTTTTATCCTGCTTACAAGAGACTGTGTTTCATCTCTGCATACATATAAACAGTGTATCTTTAGACAGTATCCCAGGGAATATATTTCCTTCTGCATGGATTATCTCTACAGACAAAGAAGTTCATCCATTCCTTACTCTTCTCTATTCTTTAAACCATGGAATGATGCTTGTTTGTCTTAGCTCTGACTAGTACAGATATAGATAATCAGAGTTGGAAGGGACCTTGTAGGTCATCTAGTCCAATCCCCCGCCTAAGCAGGAGACCCTATACCATTTCTGGCAGTCTACTTCTTGAAAGTCTCAAATAATGATGCTTCCACAACTTCCAAGGGCAAGCTGTTCTATTGGTTGATTGTTCTCACTGTCAGAAAGTTTCTTCTTATTTCCAGGTTAAATCTCTCCTTGTTCATTTTCCATCCATTATTCCTTGTCTGGCCTACAGGTGCTTTAGAAAATAGCTTAACCACTTCCTCTCTGTACTGATGATATTACCTAGTTTAGGTAATAAAATGTCTGCAAGAAAACAAGCTTAGAGAGCACCAAAGACCCCTCATATCAACCCTGAGCTACAGGTATTCTCCTGGATCTGAAATCTGTAACTTCTTTTAAAAACTGACTTGTAAATGCTTCAAGTTGGGCCTTTTGAGAAAATGTAAACTTTAACCTAATTAGCCAGCAACTATTTTGAGGAGCTCTTTTGGGAAGAGTGTGGCATCTAATTAGAGAGCTCTCAAGAAGCTTTGGACTTAGAGTTATTTGTTAGACTTATCAAGGCAGAGGGAGTGGATGGGAGGGAGGGAGGACAACCTCTTAGGAAACCTCTGTCAGAACCCAGCAGCAATACATGACATGCCCTCTGAAAATGCCAGATCTGCCAAGAGGAGCTGGGAAACCTGCCAAACAGCCAGATGCTGCTTTTGGAAATTGCTGTGCCCTACTGTGGGATCTGGGACTATAACAGTTGATCAAAGAAAGAAGATGAAGTTAAGAAGGCTTAGGGAAATAATAGTAGGTGCATGGCTATTATCTGTAAATTTTAATATTCTTGTGAAAGTGCAAGTGTCAAGAGTATTATGTATTTCTGCTTTAATTAAGTTAGGCAAAGCATTTGTTCAAGATTTTAAGTTGCACTGAAGCAGGAAAACCCATATTTAATGTAGGCTGGATTAATGAAGGGTTGGCAACACAAAGACCACTGATGTCAAGGCACTGATTGCAATTTCAGTCAATGCTCTATCAAACCCAAGCTTCTCCCCAAATTATTTTTTTTTAGAAAAATGGCTCATATTATATAAAAGATACTGCTACTTTGTGATAATTTATGAAGTTGCTTAACATTTAGTAGAGAGTAGCAATTAAGAAAATAAACAAGTCCCTTGCAAAATTATTGTTCCCATAGAGTAAACAGTCATCCGCCTATATTAATCCCTGTTTTCATGATTTTTGCTTTCTAGCTAGTCACCATAGTTTATGACATAGCGGAAGATATGATTTTGGACAGGATAGGTTATGAATAGATAAAATGAGCCGATGTTTAGTATATGAGTGAGTGCAGCCAGAGAATCATAAGAATTACTTAATTATTTGAGTATAAATATAACCCTATTAATTAGCTTAGGAAGTGAGAGTAATAAAGTTATGGTCATACAGTTCCAGAAACAATGGCTTAATTATAGATGCAAGAAACTGTCCTGTGAACTGAAGGAAACTGAGACAGAAACTCAGAAAATAACAAGCTTAGGTATTATTTTCTCCAAGACATTCAGAGTATCATATCTATTCCTTTTCATAGAAGGAAGGGGGTGCCTTTTTTGGCACATCCCATCATTCTCAGCATATAGGATACTTTTTTTCAGCAAGACAATAACCTCATAAACTGCTCTAGGAGGGGTTTACAGCATCAGCAATGAAAAAAATCAGGCAGGGTATTGCTCAATTTCCATAATGCGTAGAGTCCTACTTCTAAAAATATGAGAAGAAGCATCAATCACCTCTACTTCCACTGTAGTTATTTATCTAACCTACTTAAAGCCACTCTAAACCAGAGTGCAACAAAAAAGGGTTCCATACAGATAACACAGCTTACTGAATTATGAAGGTACTGTAATCCATTAAAAAGATCTATAAGCACAAATAGAAAAGAACCGATGGTCCATTAAATATGAACCCAACTTATAATATGATGCAGGAGAGTTATTCAAATGCAGGATGTTGTATCCATTAATAATTATTTTAATTCTACAGATTTTTATTCTAACTTCCTAGCCGTTCATCTTAATTACAGTTACTTTAATACAGATGGAGTATCCATGGAGATAGAGATGTGCTTTCACTAGGACTTTTGCCAATTCTTGAAAACAAAAATTACATGTGCTTTTGATATAACACCCAAGATGAGGACTAATATCAATCTCCATTGGTGTGATATTTCAATCATGGCATTTCTATCAGCTCCAAATCTGGGATGGCTTGAGTCATTTCTCAAATTGCCAGGTTGTTCCAGATTGGGTGTAAATTAGAATAAGATTCTATGTGTTTTTAAACACTGTTAAATGACCAGATTCATTGTGCCTAGTAGGTGGCAATGAAATTTCTGGGAGTCAATCACCGGGTTCACATATTGTGTCAAACCACAGCTTATTTAATCATTATTTATAAAGCTATTAGCCATGTTGGATAAGTTCAAAGCACATACAAACTACACATATCAAATTACACTGGATCACACTGGATAAGTTCATATACATACAAATTTCACATATCAAATTACAACTCAATGCAATAGGCAATCCCAACCTAGATTTGCTTATTTACAAAGAAGAATGCACTGCCTTTCAAAACAAGATTTTTCAGGGAAAGGTAAAATCAATATAATGAAAGTATTTTAAGCCGGTATCTTAAAAGTTTAAAATGGGAACAGCAGGATAAAATGAATCCTTAAAAAGCCAGACCAAAATAAAACAAATAAAACAGGAAAAACAACTCATATGCCTGAGTATATTCAAACAGTCATTAAGGTGACTGTCTCTAGTTAGCTCTAATTCTTGATTAGGTTTCTATCATTTTCCTACTAGGAATACCTAAATGATTTTATCACATTATGGGATTGAAAACTACTAGAATTATACTTTCAGGGGTCTTTAAATACCTATGATAAAGAAAGTTTTAATATTTGAACTATGCTTTTCCACTAAAGAAAGACTGAGTTGTGAATTCTTTTTTAAAATCAACCCATCCCATAGAGCAAACATGGTGAGTGGCCAATTGATGCTGAAAATAACATTAGATGAGGAAAAAATGCATGAGAAAGCAGCATTTGTGAACAGATTGAAAAGCTGGCAATGCTATCAAATGGTAAAAAGAAGCCAATGAGTCATTGTTTAAAAGTGAAAAATATTGCTATATAAAATTAAGGAGAAATTCCTTTATTGAACATGTAACATCTTTGTTGCTCTATGACTGAGATGGACAGTCTCCAGATTTGATGAATGAATGAATGAATGAATGAATGAATGAATGAATGAATGAATGAATGA